TGACCTGCAGATGATCATTAATTCATCTCTCTAATCAATTACATATATATCTTCTTGCACTGAATTTACCACCAACAAGAAAAAGGAAAAAAAATACAAAACATTAAAAAAAAACACACACAAGGAAAAAACTCAATGACTTGTCGGCTCCGTCACAGCTGATATAGACTCACTTACTGTACAATTCTAACGAAAAACAATCTAGTGTATTCTACATTCTACGCCGTGACTTCGATGTCTTTGGCCGCCGATTCCCCGCTAACGTGGCTGCCCTTCGCTACATATACAGAATACATTATACATGGTCAGGATAGTTACTCTAGTTCACCTGTATGTAAGAATACAAATCACTTTTTTTTATTATTATCATTTACTCCTACGGTTTGATTTTGATTCTGTGTTCATTAAGTATGTGCCAAAAATAGACAATATAACTTCCTTTGATACCACAGAAAACTTCATCTTACAAATCATCTCAAAATAGGTACAACTGTCGTTTTGTTTTTGTTTTTATTTTCTCAAAAAACATAATATCAACAATTCCTCGACAAACGAATAATTACAAACGAAAGGAGAGGAAAACAACGAGGATATGGCGTGCTGTAAGAGTCTGAGGAAAAGTCGAAACCAAAGAAATACATTTTTTTTTCTCTCTCGATAGACACTAAGGAAAGGATATTTTTTTTTTTGTTTACTCTGAATGTAACGGGACAGAATAGGCACGTGAGGACATACCGTGCAGCAAGCAGAAGATTGTAAAGAATATTATGCCTTAATTACCATATTTACAAGCCCAATTTATACATCTCAAAAATTTTCTTCTTTTTTTTTTCTTATTTTTTTCCTTTTTTTTAATATCTAGCTAAGCTAAGGCTTTTTTTTCTCTTATAGTCTCTTGAAAATACAGGACAACATATTCTTGTGAGCAGAAGAAAACATTCATGCTAGTTCCTATATGTTAATTCCATCACACTCGTGGCTCTTCAAGCGGTGACCTCCGGTAAATCTTTTTCTTTTTTGTCATTTTTTTCTTTTTAAAACTTGGGATTCAAACAGTCACAAAAGTACATTAACACTCGCGCGCGCGGTTGTTGTTGATGCAGTGACTTCCGTCGCAGTTTTTTTTTTTTTCTTTAAATAGCTGGTTTACAGTTCACAGTCTGCCGTCACAAAAAAAATCAACACATGCATTAAACCAGCGGCTGTTATACATGTACATCTATATATATATATATATTCACAATCATATATTTTTTTCCACATGTCTTTCCACACTGAAGAAAGTCTCAATCGCGCAATGGATCTGCATCATTTATCCTCAAGCTTGGTTAGAAACAGGAGGCGAGTTGGCAAGAACGGTTCAAGGAACAACACACTGAATGTCTAATCGGGGACAAGTGTAAGGCACCCAGCATGAGAAAGCCGTGGGATGAGCGAAGATGTAAATCCTATGGAGTGTTGAGAGGTTTATCCTTTGGCGGTCTTCATCCTCTCTCTCTTTGCTTCCTCTTCTTCTTCTATCTTCTTTGCTTTTCCATTATTTATCTATTTTTACTCTCTATGGGATTCATTTCTATTTTTTGTTGTTTTCTTCTCTCTTAGCGGAAGGAAGTAGGAGTTTTCAACAACCCCTTTGGCTTTGCGTCTTCTTTATATATATATATATATATATATATATATATATATATATATATATATATATATATATATATATATATATATATATATATATATATTAAAATCTCAATGTCGATGTCTTTAAGAGGGTTACGTTCACCTTTTTTCTTATTCTTTTTCCTCCCGACGTATCTGGGTAACCCTTCTTATATCTTATTTCTTTTGTTTCACTTCCCTCTTAATTTCTTCCCGGTTTCTCCTTCTTCTTCTTCTTCTTCACTCTGGCTCCTTCTTCTCTCTTCAACTCGGTCACCCTTAAATCTTCACTCTTTTCCTTGAAGAGTTACCCACGTCAACAACAACACTCAACACACTGCAGCCTCAACACTAGCAAATACTATTATTATCATTATTCTACTTTTCCACCGTATTTTCTTATATATATATATATTTATATAAAAAAAGGCTAGTTAATAATAATAATAATCATCATCCATTGTAAAATAAATATGATAAGGATGACGACCATGAGAAAAAGATAAACAATAATAACGAAAATAATAGTAATAATAATAATAACAGAGGACATCAGACTAGCACAGTCGCCCCTACAGTATCACAATAGTAAAATAAGAGGGACAGACCCAATGGACTGCCGTGGCTTGCGAATCTTCCTTTTTTTTTATTCTTTTTTTCTTTTTTTGGTTTGGATGCCTTTCGCCTCTCGCTCTCTTTGTTGACTGCAAGCACGACAACGCTGTCTAAAAAGGAGGCATGGGGGGGTGAGGGGGTGAGGGAAAGGGGGTAGGGAGGGAGGAGGAGGAGGAGGAGGAGGGGGAGGAGGAGGAGGAAGAGGGATTTAACGACATAAACATTGACAACATCAAGCCGTGGACCGTGTGGCTGCGGTCTCGAGAGAGGGAGAGACGGAGAGAGGGAGAGAGGGAGGGGGAGTGGGAGAGAGGGAGGGAAGGTGAGAGGGAGAAAGGGAAGAAGAGAGGAAGAGAGGGAGAAGGGAGGGTGTTGAGGATGAGAAGATGATGGGAAGGAATAAAGGGAGAGAAGGAGAGGAAGGAAGAAAGGAAGAGAAGGGGAGATAAGGAGAGGGAGAGGGAGAGGGAGAGGGAGAGGGGGAGGGAGAGGGGAGAAGGGAGAAGGAAAAGGGGAGAGGGGGGAAGAGAGAGAGAGAGAGAGAGAGAGAGAGAGAGAGAGAGAGAGAGAGAGAGAGAGAGAGAGAGAGAGAGAGAGAGAGAGAGAGAAAGAGAGAGAGAGAATCGGAAAATTGATAAATCAAGATAAAGAAGACGGAAACAAAGATTGGGGAAATCAAAGAGGAAGTAATAAAGAGAAAATACCAACAAAGAATAAAGAGTGAAAAAAACAGTAAAAGAGCGAGAGAGAGATGAGGGGAAATGAGAGCAAGAAAAGTAATGAGAAAGATAGACAGATCATTAGATAGACATATATAAATAGACAGGCATAAAGAGAGAGAAAAGAGACGAATACCCAAGAAGACAGAAAGACACAGAAAGACAGACATAGACAGAGAGATAGGCAAAGAGAGAGAAATAATCTCCGACGCAACGGCAGGAGCCTAAACTGCGAGTGGCAGTGCTTGAGGAACACCTTATTCTGGGACACCACTTGAGCGTATCGGTGTACATTCGGCCAGACACGGGGCCCGGGTGCGGGGGGAGGGGACGCCGAGGGAGAAGCAGAGAGAATCAGAGAGAGGGAGAAAGAGGGAAGAAGGGAGAGAGGGAGAGAGGGAGGGAGGCAGAGGGAGGGAGGGAGGGAGGGAGGGAGGGAGGGAGGGAGGGAGGGGGAGAGAGAGAGAGAGAGAGAGAGAGAGAGAGAGAGAGAGAGAGAGAGAGAGAGAGAGAGAGAGAGAGAGAGAGAGAAAGAGAGCGAGAGATAGTGCGAGCGAGCAAGGTGTCACGACCTCCGCCCGCGCCGCGCCCCGTGTCCGGCGGAGTGCGGGGGCGACGTCCTCAGACAGGCGACCAGCGACCGCCCGCCACCGCTCACTTACGAGATATAAACACATTCACATTGTTAGCAAAGCTGTCCGTCACATCCGGGCAATACCGCCTACTGGGATATGCGGACGTAACACGCCGTCCGTTTCTTGTGTGAAAACATTTAACAAATATCACAACACGTCACCCACCTACATAATCGGTGGATCATTTTTTTTTACTATTATTTATTATCATCATCATCATACAAATATCAAAGTATATATATTTATATCTATAAAGCTAAAGCATTAAAGAAATACAATATTTCTCCTTCTCCAGTCATCGCACGGTGAAGAAAACGTTTTTCCAAGGACAAGATATTTGGAGATGAGCGCGGCTATATTTCCGATCCGAGACCCTGGCTGACTGACTGACTGACTGACTGACTGACTTGACTTACTGCACGGGTTCAGGAACGTAATAAAGGTCGGGGATGAGGGGGGGGAGGGGGTCCAAAGACGGAAGGTGAGGAGCGAAAGCGCGGAAGAAGACAAAAGGGAGTGAGCAACTTCTGAGGAACGACGCCGGGTGCGGCAAGGGGTAGGAATGGGGGGCAAGGAAAGGGGGGAGGGCGAAGGAGGGGAGGGGAGGGGAGGGGGGATTGCAACACCGCAACATCGTGGTTCCAAAGACTCGGATTCCGAGCCTGGCAAACGAAAAGAAAAAATCACAACAGGAATACCATCCCTTTCGGAATATACTATTAGGAAAATTAACGCTTCACTGTTAATCTTCTACTTTCCCTTCCTCGTGCGACTCGCGTCCCTCCGGCGTGCCTGCCAGCGGGGCGCACGAGGGGAAAACAACAGTGACCCTCTCCAAATACCAGGAACGTCATGTTATATACAAGGTAAATGTCACAACCTAAGAAAAAAAGGCTGTATACTGGCTGCCAGACCCAGGTACAAGCGACCCGCAATGGCGGGCAAACTCTTTTTCAAATGTCTTTTTACTTATCCGTTTTCCTTGTTTGGGAGAGGAAACTAAAGACTCATAAAGCGATTGGTAATGATGCAATCAGTCACTCCTGATAGCCGCTCTGGCCCGATCACCGAGCACAGCTGTGGGCCGGTAAGGTTACTCTCCCTTAGCACAAGTAACTGGCGCGAACCGTCGTTAAATAAGGATTACGAACATGCCACAGACACCACAGACAGTTCGCCCCACAGCTGCGAGCGAGGGCGGCCGTGAGGCTGGCCCTGACAGACGGCCCCGCGCGCACGGCGGTGATATCTCTTATCTTGTCGAGTCGCTTACGTCTATCAACATCTTCACGCACTCACGCAACACGGGCTGGAACGCGCGCCCGCCACTCACGCACTCCACTACTGACACTAAGCGCTAGATTTCCCGCTCATCCGGAACTACAAGGAGGGCGGCGCCGCGAGTCTGCTGACGGCCGGCGGGAGGGACAGGCGGCTCGCGGCCAGCAGGAGGACCAGCAGCATCAGCAGGCCGCTCGCGTTGCCCCCGACCACGCCCGAACTCACGCTCGGCATGGACTTCGTGCACTCGTCTGGGGGGGGGGGGGAGAAAAGGGGAAAGTTAGCATCTCCATGTACCGTGCGGATACAAGGAATATAAACGTGTATATATGCAAACATAAATACACACACACATACATACATACATACATACATACACACACACACGTACACGTACCGGAGAGCGTGGCGTTGATGGCGAAGTGGGCGTCGTGCTGCCTGTGGATGCACGTGTCGTGGCGAGCCGTGAGCGTGATCTTGTCGCCGGGGCCCTGCGTGGCTGACGGCGACGATTCCACGCTGTAGGCGAAGCACACTCGCCGCGGGGCGCCCGACGGACGGGAAATGGGCGACGCCACCACGTAGGTCACGCCCTCAGCTACCCACTGACCGTGGCACTGGTACTCTGTGGGCGGGGCGGCGAAGGCGGTTAGGTCAGGGGAAATGAGGAGATCGAAAATCGGAGAGAGAGAAAGAGAGAAAGAGAGAAAGAGAAAGAGAGAGAGAGAGAGAGAGAGAGAGAGAGAGAGAGAGAGAGAAACAAGACTGGGTAAAAAATAACTTCTCTTACAGTTATACCAACGTGTTGGGTTATGCAGTAGAAAAATATTATGTTGCCAGTGAAATTACATTTAATTCAATTAGTAAATTTAGTTGCAAAAAAAAAATCTTTCCAGAGGTTAGCAGAATACACACAGGAATCATAAAAGGTATGATATTAAACGTTGCACCGCCTTGCTTAAGCCAACTCCCCCCCCCCACTCCCCCTATACCCTTCCACCTTCACCTCCCCAACCCCAACCTCACCCCCCACTCCCCCATCCTCACCAAGAGATTAAAAAAAAAGTATCCCCACCAATCTCCCTAACGTCACCCTCCCCCCCCCCTCCACCTACTCCAACACTCACCAAACACCCACCGTCACCCTCACCCCATCACCCATCGAACTCCCCCCCCCCCCCCGTAACCTCTCCCTCACCCCTCCATCCTCACCCAATCTCCCATCACTCACCTACCCTCACCTCACCCTCTCTACCTCACCCCCATCTCACCCCTTACCCCTCACCCTCACTCTCTCACCCTCTCACCCACCTACCTCACCCACACCCTTCCCCCCTCCACCCCAACCTCAACCTCACCCTCATCCCCCCCCCTTACGCTGCCACAGACACGCATTAACAGCGGCAACAAAACATGCATACGAAAACGAGAAAAGTCCCAGGGCCACGGAGACGCGCTGCCTGTCGACTCCTGCGAGCTAGGAAAAGGGAGCGAGGCCTTTGAGCTCCCCGCTGCCTCTGACAGTGATGTGCCGCAGGGGAAGACGTGGCTGGGGGGAGGGAGGGGAGGAGGCTGGGGAGGGTAGGGTGGGAGGGAAGCAGGGGAGGAGGATAGGAGCGAAGGAGGGAAGAGGGGAGGAAGGAGGGAGAAGGGGAGGAGGAAAGGAGGGGAAAGAGGGGAGGGAAGGTAGGAGGGGGGAGGTGGGAAGAAGAAGAGAGAGGAGGGAAAGAGAGAGAGGAAGAAGGAGGGGAAGAGGAAGGGAGGACTGAGGTGGAAGGAAGGAGAAGATAGAAAGAGAGAGGACAAGGAAGAGGAAGAGGAGAGAGAGAGAGAGAGAGAGAGAGAGAGAGAGAGAGAGAGAGAGAGAGAGAGAGAGAGAGGAGGAGGAAAGGAGAAAGAGAAGGAAGAAGGACTGGACGGAAGAGTAGGAAGGAAGAAGGAAGAAGAATGAGAGAGAGGGTAAGGAAGGATGGAGAGTGAAAGGAGGGAGTTCTGAGTGAAAATGAGTAGAAAAAAAGAAAGAGGAGGAGGAAGGAGAAAAGACAGAAAGTGGCCGGGTCGTAAGAGAGAGGAGCCTGAGGGGAGTAAAGACGGAGGAAGAAACAAAAAGACACTCACGCATACATAGAATCTATATACAGTTCTCTGTCTCTCTATCCCTCCCTCCCTCCCTCCCTACCTACCCCCCCCCCCTGCCCGACGCCCGCTACTCACTGTTGATGGTCTCCTCCGGGCAGCGCGCGTGCAGCTGCAGCTCCTCGCCCGTGGAGCAGCCGACGGTGACGCGCGTGAAGGACCGTGTGTCTCCGGCGCACGTGGCCGTAGGGTCGGTCACGCTGTACCTGCCGAAGGTGCCGCAGGAGCGCGGCGGCCCCCCGGCGGCGACCAGGGTGGTGAGGTTGGTGGAGGTGGGCGACCAGTAGTGGCTGGAGCACGCCTCCTCCGCCATGAAGGCCAGCTCGCCCACGCGCGCCTGCACCACGTGGTCGTCGCGGCGGTAGATGCGCACGCACTGGTAGCCGCTCTTGCTGCGGGGGAAAGAGGGGTTAGAGTGGGCTCTCTGGCTGCGGCTGTGTGGATGTGGGTTGGTGTGTGGG